GCCGTAGGCGAACGGGACCGCGGCCGCGAGGCGTCGGAGGCCCGGAGGGTGCGGCACTCCATCGCCGATGACCGCCTCCAGAGACTTCGAAGGCGGGGTGGGCGCGTCGTGGCTCGGAGAGCACTCCGAGCCACCAGGGTTACTGACATAGGAGTGCTTGGCATGATGCTCGCTGACAGGGTCGTACCTTCGGCTCGGGGCATCGGCGCTGTTCCACTCTGAGGGGATCCATCGATAAACAAAGCGGCATCCTGGGGCAACGGCGAGCGCACACAACTCGCGACACCGACGTAGGAGGAACCAAAAGCTCCCCCTCCCTTTCGTGGCGGCACATACCCAGGCCATCGAGTCGCTGAGGATGAGGTGACGGTGGTCTCCCAGACGCTTGTCACGACTGATACGCCGTGCAGCCCACAGGGCCGCCTCCGCCTCCAGGTTCAAGATCTTCTCCTTCCTCCTCCACCTCCTCGCAGCAATGACACACCAGGGGGGGTCCTTGGCAAGCCGCTCGGGAACTTCAGGGAACTCCGTCAGAGCACCAGTCTCCAAGAAGTCGAGATCGGACCCACGAGCGAGGAACGAGAAGGGCACCTCCACATCTTCCAGGAAGTCCCGCGGACTGGAGCACTTTCGCAGCTCTCCACGAAATCGGCAACGTTCGCTGACTCGCCCGACCTTGCCGACACTGCTAGACTCGATCCGGCACGCCGTGACGCCGAACCCGTGAAGTGAAGCATCCACTGAGGTCACCTCGGAGCTCCAGGGAGTATCCAGCCGAGCAACAGCCGTGGGAAGGAGAGCCCATGCCAGCCAACATTCGTGTCTAACCGAGCTCCAGACCCACGAAGGTCGGTCCCGAAAACGTGTACTAAAGGTGTAAGCTGCCGAAAAGATGGAGAGCAGCTCGGGGCGAAGCTGAAATACAGCCGACACATGCCCTACAAGACGAGCGATCGGACGTCCAGTCCGACGAACCCTGCCCTGAAAGACCGCCTTCAAAGCCAGGGAAATCCTCCGAAACTTACGCCCCGAAGGGACCCAAGACGACCCAGACTCATCCAAGCAGTGCCCAAGAAAGGGGGCGCCGTCGGGCTCCGCGTCAGCGTCGAGACCAGCACTTTTCACGGCGGACAGCATGCGCGCAAGCCCGTCACTCGAGCGCGCGGCCGAAAGCGAGAGAGACGCAAAGTTATCAACGTATATAGCACTGACGGCGCCTTGCTCAGAGAGGGGGTCCAAGGGTCTGCGTTGGGTAAGGAAGGGATCCCTGGGTACGGCGGGGGCCAGAAGGTTCTTCATTGCAGACTGGGCGAAGCACACTGCCCACGACCAACCCATAGGTACAACACGGAGCCTGAACCTGACCAACCCAGAGGGATCGGCCGGGCCCAGGGCGCGTCTTACCCGGACGGGAAGGTCGGACCAATGCACCGGAGGAAGCCCGAAAAAGCTTCGCAGATCCTCAGGCAGCAGAAACTGATAAAAACAGCAAGTGACGTCCCCTTGGGCACAGTGCAGAGAAGCCCCAGTCGGGATTTCAATCGAGCTGAGCGCCTGAGCAGCAGCAAGAGAGGTATACAGAGGGGGGGGGAAACGAGGTATTAGCTGCACGCGTGTCGAATATGAGACGCAAGGCACCGTCTTTTTTTCTGACAAAAAAGGGGGTGACCAACTTTGTAGCCTCCCCGACCTCCGGCATCTGACGAGACAGGAGATCACTCAAAAATCGCCCGTGGGCCTTCTTGCCCGTCGCGAGTCGGGGATCGAAGGCCAGCTTTCCTGCGAAACAGTTGTCGGCAGAAGCGGCATCCGTCAGAAGTCCCGTGGATTCCCCTACCAACAGAGAGCGATCCGAGGCCGGCAACGCATCCTCGAGACGTGTGACCCCGGTGGCGACGCGAGGCAAGGATACCTTGCCTCGTTGGTAAAGTGCGTGGCTCCCGCTGGTCAGGTCCTCACCGTAACCAGGGTCGGTTCCCAAAGTGGCCTTAACGGCACTCTGGACGGTCAAATCACTCGGAGGCTCGGGTATCCTGGCATACATGCCAGCAAGACGAGACAAGGCGTGAGCCTGCAAAACTGTCGTCGGATGAGCTGGCGTCGTCTGACCACGACCCCCGATCGAGTTCAGCGCTCGAATCCCTTCCTGCAGCCACCGAGCAGAAGGGCCTGTGGAGCGCGGGCCAGGCGGTGGAGGGGCGCAGGGAAGGGGGAACACATCGCGATGTGACTGTACAGCCATGGCGGCCGCCGATGGCCCCCCTCAAAAAACTAGCCTCGCACACGATGGGGCGTCACGCGCAAGGCGACCGGATGATGCGGATGCCCACGAGCAGCTAGCCCTCCTCGGACTTCTGCTTCTTGGGCGGCCTCTTCTTCCCGCCCTGGCCATCGAGGGCTGCTGCGCCTCCCGCGCCGCCGCCCCCGCCGCCGCCAGAGCCCGAAGACGCCAGCGCGGCCAGGTTGCGCTCCTCGCGCCCCTTGCGGCGCTCCTTCAAGATCTTGCTCTCCTGCTCCATCTTCTCAGCCGCGCACTCGGCCAGGCTCGGCGCCGCCAGCGCGGCACTGCCAGACGCGACCCCGAGGAAGAGGTGCCGCTCTGCCGCCGCGCCGGCGGCGGCTCCTGGCCCCTCCGTCACCTGCTTCAACTTCTCTGCGTACCTCTCCTCCCACAGCTGGTAGCGGCGGGCGATCGCCTCGAAGGCGGCACTGTTCGGCAAGTTCAGTTGGTCGTACTGCCCGCCGAGCTCGAACAACTCCGAGAGGAAGAGGTGGTCGTCTATCCCAGGATCCGCCGTCGTCGCGCCCAGCATCTGTCTCCACCAGTGGTGGCGGGCCACGGGGCTCTGACCACTCTTGTGGAACGCCTCCATCAGCCAGCCGGTCGTCCGCGGGCCGCGGACAGGGAAGTCGTCGAAGGTCTCCTCGGTGAAGGCGCCTCGCGCGCTCTGGAACGAGCGCGTCCTCTCCCCCCGCGGGTTGTACTGCACCGGCAGCGTCCTCACGTCGTCGTCTCCAGCTCGCTGCGGCCGCAGCGCGGACACCGGCACGGTCTCGCCGTCGCGGATGAGAAGTCCAGAGCGCCCGTCCGTGATGCACCGATCGTTCAGCCCTACCGTCACCTGGTCATGCATGCGCTGGCCAAGTCCGTCAGTGAGCTGGTACCAGGTCGTCCCACGCGGCGCATCATCGAGCTCCTTCGGTAGCCCGCTGCGTGGTGTAGGCGTGCCGCCGCCAGCGCCAGCCGCCGCCCCGTCTTCGGCGGGCACCAGCGCCGCCGCGTCCCCCGCATCAGGAAGCGGGAGCGGCGCCGCCGGGTACTCGCCGCTCGCGAGCAGCCTCTCCAGCTGGCGGGCGGCGTCCACGCGCAGCTGGCTGTCCTCGTCCAGGTCGTCTGGGTCGAAGTGGTAGCGCCGCCGCGGATACAAGCGGCGAGGCACGCCGCCCTGGGGCCCTGAGAGGGCCAGGTCCTCGTAGTCCGTGTACTCCTCAGCGTAGATATCCCCGTCAGGGGTGGCAACGATGATCCCCGTCTCGTACTCGAACAGGCACAGACGCTCGTGCCACAGCCCCTCGGCGCGGTCAAACAGCACCCAGTAGCGCTGTCCCGCGCACGGCCGTGCCAGAGCCATGGCTAGCCGACGGTAGTCGGCGGACCGGCCGTGATCTGGCCCCGCCGCTGCTTCACATCGATCGCCTGCAACTGCGCGGGCGGCGCCCGCCACAACAGCCTTGGGCCCAACCCGAGGAGCGAGGTCACACTCAGGATGCCGATGAGTACAGGGGGCCACCAGGAGCTGCCTTCGGAGCAATGGCAGGTGCACCCGCACGCTGGCGCAGGCTGCACTGGCGGGCTCCACCAATTGCTCGCAAGGAGGCAGAAGTTGCCGACCGACACGAGACAAGTGAATGTCTCCGTGAGCATCCTCTCTCACGGTCAAAGATTGGCTTGAGAAACCGTGGCCGCGGAATATACATTAGCATGCACGCATTCCCATACATACGCACATATATACATACATACGTACATACATGCATACATACATACATGCATACATACATACATACATCCATACATACATGCATGCATGCATGCATGCATCCATACATACATACACGCATACATGCATACCTACCTACCTACCTAATTAATACATACATACATACATACATACATACATACATACATATATACATACATACATACATACATACATACATATATACATACATACATAGATACATACATCCAGCCATACATCCATACATGCATATATACATATATACGTACATACGTACATACAGACAGCCATACATAAATGTATACACACATACATACACCCATGCCTACATATCTACATACATACATACATACATGCATGCATACATACGTAAATACACATATACACACATACACATATACATACATACATACGTACGTACATACATACACACATGCATACATACATACAGACATACATCCATCCGTACATACATACATAGAGACATGCATGCATGCATGCATGCATGTATGCACGCATACACACACATACATACATACATACATACACACATACAAACACGCACGCATCCATACATACATACCTAGTTACCTACACGCATACATACATACATACACACATACATGCATACACATATACACGCATGCACACACATACACGTATATGTACAGCTGCCTATAGACATACATGTGTACCAATATCACAAGTGAACGTGATATATGTAGGAGAGGATGGAGGATATTGGGTTCAGGAGGGAAAACGTAAGCAGGGAGAGTGGAAGGGAGAGAAGTAAGGAGAAGGGGGGGAGGTGGATGAGCAAAAGGGTGTGACCAAGATGCGTATCGTTTTGTCACTACGAACATGACGCCTCCTGATTGCCCCTCGCGCTCGCTGCCACTGCCTCTCGCTGCTGCTTGCCATTACCCTGACAGGATAAGACAACATGTCATGAATACAAACACTGGCAACAAACATGTCCCACAGCGCCACCTCCCTCTTCGTCAACTCTTTCCCGGTCTTCGAGGAGTTGAAGGTGTTCGAGTCCTCGCGGCGCAGCGGGCGGTGTCCTCGCCCTCTTCGTGGTCGTCGTTCTCCTCCGCCTCTCCCCCACCCCTCCTCCACATCCTCCTCCTTCTCGCGAGCGCGCCCCCGCACTCTCCAGGAGGAGAGAGAGAGAAGAGATGAGAGACGAGGGGGAGGAGACAGGAAGATCAGGGAGAGGAAGGAAGAGCCCCCCCCCTTCTCTTCTGATCCTGCTCATCCTTCTCTGCGGAGCTGGCAATAGGACAGCGAACCACAAACATGAGAACTTACCAGGCCCGTCCGTGCCCAGGGAAGTGCCACAACTTCGAGTTCTCCGGAGGCCTCCAACAAGGTCCCAGAGGGTTTTCGATGTTTCCTGGGTGCTTCCAAATGCTCCGAAGCCCAAGCCCCCGACTGCGTGATTTCCCCGAATGAAGACCATCTAACGTCTCGACTCCTTCCCCAGCACTGGAGTTTCAACAAGAGTCATTTCTGACGGGCCCGAAGACTCTCAAAATTTACGTTTGGTGATGAAATCTATGAGGCTGTGTAATCTACGTGGTGCGAGATAAGTGGTACAGTATGTGTGGCGCAAGCTACCTGAAGCAACATGCGGTACAAGCAAAACGGTGAAACCTAGGTTGAATAAACCATGTGCTGCAATCTATGTGATGCAAGCTGTGTGCACGCGGTGTGGTTCAATTTGCAGCGGGCCCTACGTGGCGCCCACCAGGCGAAACCTCAACGAACCCAGCCAGCGCACGGACGCCCCTGAGGCATCCTGAGGCGCCCATGAGGCGACCACCAGACGGAACCTCGGCGGACCCAGCCTCGAGCCAAGTAGGATCCCATCAGTGAAAGCATTGTTTGGTGAACCTTGCTTTTTTTACGATGCGGGAGGGTACGAGAAGGACCCATACATTCAAACACCTCATGGAAGCAACAAGAAACGGGACACCTGATTGGAGTCGAATGTGCGTCGGAACAGGCTGCAGCGGCATGGATTCGACAGCGAATCGGATAGGCTGCGCCACGACGCACACCAACACCATGCAAATATCCAGATCGGAATGCAAGCATATATCGACTGGAAACTGGGTCGATCCGGCCAGAATTCATGTCTAGCCCGATCGATAAGATCGGGATGGACCCTGCTAAGGAGGGGCAGGAAGGAGGACTGAACGCACCTGCTCGTCCTCGGGACCCCGGTGGTCCTGGATGCAGAAGACGATCGCGGCAAGGTCGACGTACGCGTTGTCCGTCGCTTCCTGCGGGGGAGGAGTTCGCTGGGAGGAAGGGGATGACGATAGTGACGATGGTGATGAGCACAAGGAGGATGAAGACGCGTGGGAGGAACAGCGCGATGAGATGGTGGATGTGAAGGAACACGAGGCGAAGGAGGAGCAAACATGAGAAGGCGGTAGATGAAGCGTCGAGCCAGTAGAAGGAGGGGATTGATGATGATATAACGATGAAGTGGAGGACGCCGAGAAGGAGCACGAGAAGACGAGAAGACGGAGGACGAGTATGGGCAAGACGGGACGGACCACGAGAACGAGGACGGTAGGTGGAGGCGCCTCCTTCCTCCACCGCCTTCTCCTCCCCTCCCCCCTTCCTGTTTCTCCTCCTTCTGCTTCCCATCCTACTCCTCCAATCCCCTTCCCCTATTCTTCATTCGTCCTCTCTCTCCCTTTCCGCATCTCTCTCCGCGCGGGCGCGATCTCTCCCGCGCGCGCCGATCTCTCGCGGGTGGTCATGGCTGGAGGAGGCAGAACATCAGGCGGAGAAAAAAACGAACAAGGACGCGGAAGACAAGTCGCACTCTTTGCGCAAACTTCCTCCCTGGGAACCAGTGAGCTGCATTGCAACAATGGGGCTTCGCCGAACAAGATTTGTATATATGTTCACCCGTGCGTGCACAACGAGGGAGGAACCGCCTTCGCGAGGCGCAGCCACACCATATCAACGAATACCAGGTAGCCAAACACAGGGGCTCCAACAGCGGGTTTTCTCTGGCAACAGGAGGCGGCCCGAACCGAACGGACGCACAGCGTGGGCGAGCGAGACAGACAGAACTTAAAGAAATGAGCATTGCAACTTGGTCATGCAGCCTGGCTATATCCCCGTCGGAGTTGGAGGACGCGAACGAGGAGAGAGAGGCTGCGGAGAAGGAAGAGCACCAACAGGGCAGAGAGAGGAGGCGGAGGAAGAGGAGCACGAAGCGGAATGTGGGACGTGTGGGAAGGGCACACATGGGAGGAGGAAGCGGAGGGCTGGCTCAACTCAACTGCCATATCGAACGGTCTTGACACTGCCCCGCGCCCTCTCCGGGAATAACATCAAACACACGATCTGGTTTACACTTACTGTTCTGCCACATCGTTAGCCACATCGACCCACTTTATTTTCCTCCTTGGAATCCCCGTAGGTCTACCCCTGGGATTCAGGAGAACGTGAGTCCATGCCGACTCGCGCCTGACAACGGAAACGCCGAGTGCGCACAACGCACATCGTCAAAACGCAGGCCGGGCGCATCAGATCTCTGAGGCGGCTGGGAACGCCCCCACCCCCGCCACGATTCCCAGAGAGGGCGGCCCCAGCCAGCGAGGATGAGGGATGCTCACTGGAGACCTTCATGATCCAGGAGAGGCAGGACTAAAATCAGGGCAACCTGCCTCGCGGTCCTCACGTCGTCTCCTCCCACTTTCTAGCCGTCCTCCCTGCCTCTTCCTTCGCCTCGCGGCCACGCCTCATGTACCCCCTGGGGCCCTCCTGGCTGCAGCTGTGCCGTGGACTTCGCCTTCGAGGGAGACAGGGGAAAAAAATCGTCAACGCCGCAAAACTAAATCAAAAACGTGGCCATCGAAAGAACTTCTTGAGTCCATTCTTCACTCCGTCCAGGTTCTGGGCGCCAACGTGGGCGGCCAGATTGCGGCAGGAGGAAACCAATTTCCCACATCGATCCCGCTAGCGCGTCAAGATGTACCAACGCCCTTTGGTACTAGTATCTGGCCTCTGGCACCACCAACGCTGGCGAGCGCCCAGAGTGACTCGCTGCAGCTTCCTCCTCCTCCTCCTCGCTCCCTGCTCCTTGCCTACCTCCCTGCTCCTACTCCACGCCGTGCTCTTCAAGATGGTATCACACAGCTACCTGCAGTGCGCAGCCAAAGTGTATAGGCGGAGAAGGGAGAGTTGAGGAGGGAATGATCGGGCGGAGCAGGAGGCTTAGCAAGAAGAAGACTCCGAGGACAAAAGCCAGAGCACGCCGTGGAGGAGGGCAGGAGAAGAAACAATCAGACGAAACCGAGCCCCCTCGCCTCTCGGAGTCCTCCCCTCTAGTTCGCATGCACTCCTCCTCCTCCTCCTCTTGCTTCTCCTCCTCCTCCTGCATGGCCCGTCGGCCCACCCCGCGTCCTCCTCCTCCTCGTCCTTCCATGTCCTTCCTGCTGCCCTAGCCCCTTCTGGCCCAAGGGGGCCATCCTCGCGCGCACGTGGAGGGGGCGCAGCGCGAGGGAGCCATGCGTGGGTGATGCTGGAGGCCAAGACCCTTGAGATCTTCGTGGGCCACGGGCTCGCCGAGCGAGGCGACGTGGGCCGCGCAATTGGCAAGCTGTTCAGGGACATCGAGCACGGCGCCGAGCGGTCGCTGGACTGGCAAGTGGTGCTGTGTCAGGATGTCCATGTCCAAGGCTGCGAGTGTCCGCCCGCACTCCACGGACTCGAGGGCGTGGGCGGCGAAGGACAGGGAGGGGAAGCATCGTGGGCAGAGCCTGAGGGACCTTGGCCTGGGCTATGGGCCGACGCCAAGGCCTACGGTTTCGAGGGAGTCCACGGTGGTGCCTCCCCAGCTGGACCTCAGCTACGGGCCGCCCATTCGCATCAAGGTCACGGAGGTCGAGATGGCGGACCTGAGCTACGGGCCGCTCAAGAACAAGGACGACAGGATGGTGGTGTCCCCGAAGGCACGGCCCTCGGCAGCGGCGACGAGCTGGCGCAAGTGGACCGCAGCGGGCGACATCGTGAAGGCCCCGCGGCTGGCCTCTGTGTGCGTGGACAAGGCGAGGCACATGCTGGGGCGGAAGGTGTGCAAGGGCACCGCCAACGTCCAGGAGAAGGAGAAGCAACCGGTACCCTGCCAGGCGCGGCCGATTCCGTGCCAGGCAGCGCCACCGGAGACCCGCCAGGGCGCGGGCATCAAGAAGAAGCGCCTCAGCAAGAAGAGGCGCGAGAAGGCGAAGGTCAAGGTGGTGCACCAGCAGGTCCCTGGGCTCCACACGGCGGAGGCGAAGCGACGCCTCGCTCGGAAGCTCTTCGAGGTGAAGCTCATGCGGGCGCGCCGCAACTTGACGGAGAAGCCAGCCTAAGCTCCAACCACCAGCGCGGAGAAGGCATGCCAGGCCCGTCAGGAGATCACGCTGGAGGTCTCCCCGTTCCTGGCGCTGAGCTCGGAGGCCAGGGCTGCAGCGACGAGAAGAGCGTGGAGGAGCTCTTCCCTAGTGGCGCGGCCATAGCGGACAACGGCACCGAGGCAAAGGGCCAGCCTGGCCCCAGTTTTGACAGCATCCACGTGAAGGGCGCAAAGGAGTTCTTCATTGGTGATGCGGCCGACGCCGACGGCGGCATGGTGAAGCTGCGGGGCGTGGCAGGCCCTGGGAATCAGAACAAGGGCAAGAAGAAGAAAGGCAAGAAGGGCAACAACGGCACCGCCAGCGATGTGCCTTTCCAAGCCGACCAGAAGGGCATCGACAGCAACGACAGCTTGAAGAGCGAGATCATCGAGAGGGCCTTGGAGCTCCTTGAGTCTGGCATCGTCGATGCTGCGTTCGTCGAGGGCCTGATGCAGACGCTCTCGGAGGCCGAGGTCGACTGAGAGCTAGGGGGCTGGCAGGGGGGGTCATCTAGGCTGCGAGGGTCTTGGGGCCGCCCCTTCTGGTTCCCTGGTCGGGCTCCTGGGGTCTCTCGGGCTCCTTGGGCCTGCCTGGCACCCTCCTCGGGGTGGGCGGTTTTGGTGTGGCGGGTGGACCCGCCTCGCAGCCTGGGTGTGTTCCCCCAGGCTGTTCCCTGCGGCCGTGTGCCGAGCGCGGTCAACAGACTGCGATATAGTCAGCACCCCTCAGCACCCCCTTCCTGCTGCCCTTACCGTTCCTCCTCCTTGCCTCCACCCCTCATGTCCGTCCACCTCCTCCGTGGCACATTGGCACCCTCATCATCCGCATTGCCTCCAACGCAACTCCTCCTCTGAACCTCATCGTCATCCTCCTCGTTCCTCCTCCCCGGGGGTCCCTTCCCCCTCTGCGGCGAACGTCGATTTGACGCCCTCTTGCGCCGTCGTGACCTGACCTACTCTCTCAACCACCTCCTCCTCCTCCTCCTCCTCCCCCTCCTCCTCCTCCTCCTCCTCCTCCTCCTCCTTATCCTCCTCCAATTTCTCCTCGTCCTCCTCGTGCTCGTCCTCCTCGTCATTCACGTCCTCCTCGTCATCCTCCCCCCCTTTCCCCTCCTCTCCCTTCTCCCCCGCCCCTCATACCTCCCTCCGTCCTCCTCGCCCCTCCCCGCCTGCACCTCGCTCAGGTGCTTGAAGCTGAAAGCCATGCGCGGCACCTGAGCCGATCCACCCCCCAAGTCGGCTCTCAGCAGGCCCAAGAGACCGCGGAGGCACGGCGATGGCGGCCGCAGAAGAGCCCGAGACCACAGGGAAGGCCAGAAAAGCTCGGAAAAAGAACACGTCGAGGGCCGAAGATCAGGGAGGTCTGGCCCTTTAGGAGCCTTCGGGAGCCTCCACGGAACTCAGGTTTCCCCCTATCCCTTCGTCCATCCCTCCTCCCTCTCTCTCGCACTGTCTTTCTGTTTCTACCTCCCTCGTTTCTTGTTCTCGGTTCCTGCTCCATGCCCCGTCTTCCCTCCATCCCTTACTATGTGGCCCCCTCCTCATCCCATCAGGGGAGCCGAGGGAGGAGAAATGAATGTATGTAGGGAGGGCGACGAGGGAGAGGAGAAGGGAGGTCTCCTCATCCTGCTTGGCTCAACTTCTCGCTGCCCCACGTCCTCTATCAACCTCCTCGTGCTCCTCCTGCCGACCGCCTGAGCATCGGCTATCCCGGGGCCTCGCTGTCGTCTTGCACCTCGTCGATGTTGGCCCTCTCGTCGAACGTGAGCACCTCGCGGCGGCAAGGAGCCAAGAGGGAGAGGTGGAGCAGCGAAAGAAGGAAGACAGGGGCGGTAAACGAATGGGGTTGGACGGTGCTAACGTGAACGTGATGCCCTTTGAACAACCAAGCGCCTGGAATGGACCCGCGTTGCCATGGGACGACGCGGTAAATGTTGACTCCTCACGACCGCACACTGGGACTGCATAGCCTGGCATTCTGAGCCCCAGCTGGGCCCGCACTCGAAGACCAGCCCGCATTTTGACGCCCGAAACCGACGGGGTGGACCTCGCATTGAAGATCGGCCCCTCACGCACTCCTTCGCGGGACCCTGCATCGAAGGACCTGGCGATAAAACGCATTCCAAATACGAAGCGCCCCCGCTGGGCACTGGGCCAGCTGAGCCACCCAGAATTGGAGGCCACCCGCGGGGCCGACAGTGCCACGCTGGGGTGCGGAGCTGGAGGAAGAAGAAGGGGAGGGGCGCGTGGGGGAGGGTTTCTGGGATTATGTAATTTGGGGCGGCGGGCGCCCACAAAAGGGCGCGAGAGCCAGGCAGAGAAAACAAAAAAACCACAGGCGGCGACAACGACAGCGGCGGCCGAGACGGTGACAACGACGCGACAGACCGACAGGACGCCCGCAGCGGCGAAGGGGGACTTGGATTGGGAATGCGTGAAGGAGACGGGCCATGAGGGAGCGAGGGCGCTGATGGGGAGGGAAGAACCGAAGGCGATGCGGGGCATGATGATTGAATGGGACACGCATGCCGATCCAGCGTGGTTTCAAATTCCAATTTCGCTCACCCCCACACGGGGGGGTCTGGATGATACGGGAGGATGGGGAGCAGGTGGGACACCCACCCCTGGAGGCGCAGCAGGTCGCCGACGAACCAGGCGATGGATGGCGGGCGAGCTCCTGGTGACGGCGCGCAACCGACCCTCAGCCACCTGTATTGTGCACTGGTGGGGGCGGCAGGATGACAGAAAAACTCATGATCGGAAGCGTCGGGCGCACGATATCACTGGCAAGCAAGGAACTGGACAGGGCCTGGGAGTCCAGGGGGGCACGGTGGGGAGTGGTCGAGCTCAATGACTCGCCTCCCCAACCCGCAAGGAGTCGAGGCAGATAGTGACGGACGACAGGGAGCACGACGACGCAGGAAAAATAGTGGAGAAGGTCGTCGCCGACGACGCACTTGCATCCAAACTGGCGCCAATAGGGCCTCTGGCGGCATCTCTTTGTAGTGTTCCACCTTCGGAACACCGTCAGGAAAGTACGCGATTAAAGCAGTAGCGGGAAACAGGGGCGCGACATTTTGCCAGCACCAGAGCGTCCCGACCATTCTGGACAAGCGAGACCCGCGGAAACCATCATCGTATCCGCGGCAGCAACATTCCATAGACAGGCTGGGAGATGGCGCCTTGTGAAATGATATGCACGGGCTTCCCCAGAACATTATTGTGTATACCTGGACGGAGACGAAGAATCTACATGGGGGGTTTTGTACTCATGATATACATGCTCGGAGGGCGAGTCAGCGTGAAACCTTGATGGTTGCATGAGAGCACATATTCGCCACTCTCGAGCGCACTCTCAATCATGCCTGCGAGCGAAAGAAAACAAACACATGTGACGGCCAACCGTAATTTGGCCGCGCGGGCAGAGATAGCTAGATCCAGCGTCTGGACGAGCAGGCCGAAGTCCTACACTCGGTCGAGCAGGCTCGGTGGGAAAGCGTGCGTCGGCGAGCAAGCGCGCGCATGGTGAGCCTCCGCCTCAGCTTTCAGGATGCCCCGGTTCGGCCTGGATCCCGTGCTAATAAGGCTGGCAGCGGAAAGTGAATGCCTGTTGCGTGCTGTGACACTCGCGCAAAGCCCAGCGCCCATTTACTTGGCGCGGCGCGCTCGCTCGATCACCTCGTCCGCAACCAGGGCCCAAGATGAGCGGGGCCAACCGAGGCCCAGCGCGACCCGAGGAGACTTGCCCCTCGCCTGAATTCTGAAACTGGAGACGTTGACCCCACATCTCTAGAACTCGGAGGCGGCATTCCAATGAGGGCGCTCGGAAGTCAGCACAATGACGCACTTGCCGAGGGAGAGCAGTAAGCCCGAAGGGCGCCTAATCTTGCAAATCGGTCGACGACCGGCCTCAATGACTGGAAGACATTGGCTGCAGCCGCCCCGAATGATCCGAGATGGCGCGCGCCTGCTTCGGCGGCGACAAAGGGGCGCCGGCCAGAAGTCCGAGCGGCGGATCGAACGCGCGGGCGAGGAGGTTGGAATTGAGCAGGTGAATAGCTGCGATCATGAACTCACCCGGGGATGCTGAAGGCCTCCGTGGCGGCATCTATTCAGGAGTGGCAGACCGCGGGGAACGCGGCCTTGCCACAGCACAGTGCTCCACAAGGCAAGATTAATGTCGATTTCGAGCGCGCTGTTTCCCAATTTCCCCCCTTCCTCGCAGAGCCACGCTGGGTGGGGTATGATTTTTCTGGGCAAACTTCGGAGATCAGGCCGACCGCCGGGGGGGCGATAAATCTGCGGTCGGCGATTGGTAACGCAAAAGGACTGGCATTCTCAAGCTCTTGAGCCGCGCCAACGGGGTTCGGGGCGTCGCCTGTCGGGGGCGCGGCGATCTTGGCAGCTCTCAATCCAGTCGACATTGGCGGTCCCGCCATAAGATGACCATGCACCACGAAACGAGCTTCATGCGCGACGGGCCCAGTAGCTCTCCAAGCGCTGTAGCGCACGCCATCGAGTCCTGGGGAGGAACCGATGTTCCTGTTCAAGGGTCCAGAAACTGATCCATGGTACTGAACCTAGGGGAACCTCTGGTGGGTGGAGTTGGCGAGTTGGCGAAGGTCGGGCGGCGGCGGCGGCGGGGGGGGGAGGGGGGGCGGGGCCCAGGAACGCGGCCCCACCGGCATGGCCCTCGGATCCCAACGTGGAAACCCGCCCCCAGCGTTCAGCCAGGCGTTCCGCGCAGGGCGCGGGGTCGCAGTGGGAAAGGTGGCTCCGTCGGGGCCGATGACGCCAGTGAGCGCCGTTGCCCTCTGACTCCATTTCCATGCGCGAGCTGACCTAGGAACTCAATCGACGAGGAAGCATTATGCCGACCAGCCTCGCGCCAGGCACGCTCTGGGTGGCAAGCTCAGCCAGCTTCAATAACGGCTCAACGCCGCGCGGTCCGTCTACCCCACGAGCCCCCGATCGAAGCGCGAGGCGCCGGCGGGGCGCGCGCGAGGCACCCCGCCGCCGACGCCTCGAAGCCGGGGGCGATGAGCGCAGACAGGTTTGAGGCAACAGGCGATATTGTCGGGGTTCGTCTCGGCATTCGAGTGGGCAATGTCGCGCTCGGCATTGTTGGGCGGCGGCAGTCGTCATCTCTCCAAGCCCCCTAAGTCGAGTGGGCGGGTCGCTGCATTGCTCTTGCCCTTCAGCAAGGGGAGCAAAACGCATGGCGAATTCTCGCCCATTGAGCATCCAGGTCGGCGGGAGAAGCTCGCACTGGGCAGACCGCGCGGGTTTCAAATGAAAAGAGGGCTGGCACATGATCGAAAGAGGCGGTCGCGTCTGCGATGCTCCAGGCAGCGCCGCTAGACGGTGCGCCATCAGGACACCAGCAGCGGGCGCGAATGCGCACATCTTGCCCCGGCGGGCGCGCGGCGCGGAGGGGGGGGGGGGGGGGGCGGGCGACAACACTGCAGTGCGCGAACGAGTCCCGCGCGAGCCGGGCATGCTCGGGAAAGGAAACTTGAAGCACTGGCAGTCTCGCGCGCGTGTATCCCTCCTCTCTCCCGCGGTCGCATCCATACGTCATTCCTTACTTCGCGGCGTGTGAAATCTCCCCAAAGGAAGGCGGATGGCGATGCAGCGGGAGACATCGCGCCACGAATCAGTCCAAACTGGCCCCTCACAACGGGGCCTAGGAGGTCGTGGCCCGCGTGAGTTCAAAATGCCTGCGCGCTACCTCTGGGGCCCCGAAACGAGAAACAACCAATCCTGCTACGTGCAGTCTGGTCAGAAACGGCGTCGGTGATTTCTTCGTCTGCCAACTGCCCGTGGAGAAAGACGAGGATGCCGCAGGCGCTCGACAGAGGACAAGACAATGCGAAAACTGCGCGATCCTGAGAGACCCCCAGGCGCCCCGTGAGATTCCTGAATGCAGACAACGCCCTGCTGCCCAAGGAGAACGGGAACCCTCTGATGTTTCCCTTAGTTGATGATTCTGATCAGCACGAGGAGGCCCACGGAGAATCGCGACCTCTATGTCGACAGCATCAGAGGCCGGGGGGGGGAGGAGGGAGTGGCCGTGAAGGCCTGGGCTGGATCCCCAGGCCCCGGCAAGTTCTCTGCGCTCCGACCGGGGTGATTTGGCGGGCGGGGGGCAGGAGGGGGCGAGGCGCGACAGCGCCTCGCCCCAGAGAGCGGCGGGGCAGAAAAA